TTAGTAGCTATCTAAGATCTTATATTAGAAATCCTTTATTAGAGGGCGCCGTTTTTATCTATCTTAAATACTAAAATCGTATCTACTTCCTCTATACTTACTCTCTTATTCCTCTCTCTTCCTTATCGTCGATACTAACGGAGGCGAAGGCGTAGTACTAATAAATTTAAGTTTCGAGTACGATAGGCCTTAGCTATAGATAACTTATATTTAAGATTTAGACGAGGCTCGAGACGAGAGGACGTTAAATCTCCGAGGGAATCCTCGTCCCCGAGTAATATACCGCTAGGTATTTCGATCGATATCTTAAAGCTTTCTCTAGAAATATCGCCTACGGAGTCTTCGGGTAACTTCGAGAGGTAATTAGGTTAATTTAGTAGGTCCTTCGGTAGAAATAAATCTCTAAAGAATACCTATATAATATATAGCCTAATAAATAAAGAAGATATTCTTCTACCGCTTACGTTATTATAATTATAGAAGTACCGGATAAAAATAAACTTACGATCGTCTTTATACGTATTTTTAAATAGTTTTTCGTATCTACGGCGCTTACGCTTACCCTCTCCTTCTACGGTAAACTTCGGTATTTATAGCGTCTATATAATATCGACCGTACTTTAAAATATTCGCTTTATTTAGCGTTTATAGGACGTAAATAGAGCGTCGTTATATTTATAGAGAGGTAGTTTACGAGCTTTAAGTAATATCTTATCTACTATTTTATTATCTTTATCTATTTTTATTATCTTACGAATATTTTCGTACTCGAAACCTAGTCGGTAAGCTAATCTAGTATATACGGCCTATATAGAAACATCCGGTAGCTCGGGAACGGGCGTCTTACCTTTCTCCTACTTCGGATAAACCGAAATTAAGCGTATAAAATAGCGGCTAGGGTAAAGGAATATCTAGAGTATCCCGATATTAATCCGATCTCTCTAGCTCCTATAAAAATCTCGATATAATATCTTAGCCTCTTAAATAATAAAGTAGTTATTTCGCTATTCTCGCCCGGTAAAATAACCTTTTATAGTCGTTCTTAGCGACCCCCTTATAGGTATATTAAGTAATATCCTAATAGACTTTAAAAGGATTCTTAGATATTTAATGTCGTTTCTTATAGTATCTAGCGATAGGATTAATACTTTAACTCTAAGGATATTATTCTAGATTAATCGTCGTTAATTTTTATTCTTAACGAGGGAGAAAATAACCCCTTCGTTAATTAATAGCTATAGGAATTCCCGATTATATAAATAGCGTCCGGGAACTCGAAGCTATACGTTCTCGATAGTAGTTCGGTTCGTCTTTAGTATTATCTCGATATCGCCGTCTAATATCTTAGAAACCTAGGTAGCCCTAATAAGTTTAAAGTAGTTAACTCCTTCCTAGTATATATTAGAGAGCGACTATCTTAAAATAATAGAATTGTTTCTACCTCCTAGTACCTAGTACCGAGGAGCTCGTAAATAGTTAATATTATTAATCTAAAACGTAGCCCCGGAATAACTAATACACTATTAAGAGCCGTAAATAGTACTCTATACTTTCGAAATTACGCTAAGGTCTTTTACTTATTTATAGAAAACCGGGTACGCTATCGACCCGCCGAGAATTTATTACCTTACGCTTCGTAGTCTAGTATATTAACGTATATATCTAAATCCTTAGGGAGCTTTTAGTAGGAGTATTCTTTAATTAAGATACGTTTAAGTTTATTACTAGAATCTTCGGTTATTAGGTTAGGAGAATATCTTAAAGGTTTTTATATATACCCTCTAGATATAAATCTACCGCCTATATAGCGGGGTACGAGAGAAATTCTTCCTCCGCTCTAGTTCGTAATTCGCCTTAGAGATAGTATAGTTTATAGAAAGGAGGGAAAGTTAAAATAGGAGGAATACTATCTAGATTATTAAGTAGCTCCTCCTAGATAAGTCCTAATAGATAAAGAGTTTTAATAAGGTCGCTATTCTTAACGACCGCTAGAATACGATATAGCGGTTCTAAAGGTAGATATCCTTTATCCTTAAAGATTTCGCGTAGCCTATTAATATTACTAGTATTATTCTCTAAAAGCGAACTATTAAAACTTAATTAGTTTAAAAGAACGTAAGCGGTGCCTCGAAAATTCTCGCTCCGGTCTATATATATTCGTAGGCCTATTTAATAGACTTTTTCTTAACTTAGTAGGCTTTCCGATATACCGAGAACTATACTTCGACCTTACTATTAAAGGGAGGACTTACTATCTAAAGGTATATAGTAGTCTATTTCTTATAAGACTATATTTAGAACGGAAGGAGATAACTATAGTTTAACCGATAATTATACTAGGCTTTTACTAGCCTATAATATAAAGCTATACTTACTTCTTCGCGCGTCCCCCCTCTAATTATTATAGAAATATCTTTAGAAGCTAAGTATATAAACCGTCGTACTATTTTCCCTAGTACTAGAAGGGTTAATAATAGAGTTTCTAAGCTTCGATTTAGATATTCTACTCCTTCTAAAAATCTATAAATAAATTACGCGACTATCGACCGTTCCTTAACGATAATCTATACCTCTTTAGGATCATTATAGAAGAAGAGAAATAATAAGCCGTAGGATAATTATAAATAAAGATTTAGGATAACTTTAGGGAGAGAAATTACTATTATATAGAAGCGTACTACTAAACTTAGTATCCTTATAAATTCGGTAGTATCGAAAAGGCTTTACGCTATTAGGAGCTTCTATACCTAAAATATATAATAAGTTACTAAAGTTTTAGATCGAATCCGTTATAAAAATTTTATCTATATCTATAAGGTATTCTTCTATAAAGGTCTCTACTTTACGATCTCGAAACTTAATCGTATATTACTTAAAAGGTTCGATATAATAATAATTAGACTATATAAAGTCTATATTACTACGATAATTTATTAGGTTAGTTATACTTACCGCTTACCCTACTAATAGGTATTAACCTTTATAGTTACTTTACGTAATAAAGTTTCTTACTAGGCTCGATATATTTTATAGTACCTTAACCTATTTAGATATCGTCCTTTCTAGTAAGGGGAACGTTAAAATTAGTAAGAAAGAGTATTATCTCTAAAATTTTACTCTCTAACTATCTATATAGCTAACCTAGAAGTTTATTATACTATTAGAGAGAATTCTAGATTAAATATATCGAGTAATACTTTATATCTATAAGGAATTATATCTAACCTTATAAAAAGATCCGAAATAGGTCTAGAATTATCTAAGGATCTTATATTATTAAGGTAGTTAAAGAGTCTACTCTATTTTTAGATATTACTTCCTAATAGAAATACTACTTATCTCCTACGAGTTAGTTAATTTATATATTTTAAACTTTACCTTATATAATACTAACGATTATAGAATTAGTTTCTAAGAGGTACTCCTAATAAACGTAAGCTTACCTAGATTATAATATATATAGTAATATCTACTTATATTCGGTATTAAGAAAAGTAATAATATTTAAATCTTAAATCCTTTCCTAATAATTATATTAGAATATATTATTTTTACTTTTACTTATATCTATAAACGTAAATTAATATATAACTAACTAATAAGTAAAACTATTCTTTAGCTTTTAGTACTATATTAGAGAGCGCCTTCGTTAGGGAGCGCCCTTATTAGGGAGCGCCCTCGTTAGTAGCGCCCTCGTTAGGGAGCGCCCTCGTTAAGAGCGCCCTCGTTAGGAGCGCCCTTATTAGGGAGCGCCCTCGTTAGAAGCGCCCTTATTAAGGAGCGCCCTTATTAAGAAGCGCCCTTATTAGGGAGCGCCGTCGTTAGGAGCGCCTTCGTTAAGAGCGCCCTCGTTAAGAGCGCCCTCGTTAGGAGCGCCCTAGCTAAAGAAGAAGCTAGTATCGTTTAAGTATTCTAAGTTTAATACTAGTTATTAGGAATAGAGGTCCGAATAAGTATATAGCTAATAGGTCCGAGAATACCTCGTACTTCGTGCGAGATTTTAGTCTTTTTAAGTAATCCTTAAGGGCTAATAGATCTATACCTAATACTAGTAGAGTATATAGTATCTTTCTTAGTAACTCGTAATCTTACTAGAGATACCTTCTTCTATACCTTCGACCGCTATTTTTACTTAATTTTAATAAACTACTAGTAAAAACTATAGTTAGTATAGCTATAAGAACGCCTAAAACGCCGAATATCTAGGTTATTATCTTTTATCTAGCTTCCTTCTCTATAAAGCTACCCTAGAGCGGCCCTATAAGTAGACCTCTAGTAACTAATACCGAGTATAATGTATACGCCTAAGTAATAGTACTCCGCGCGCCTAAAGCGCCGGAATATTTACGGTCCTTAGATTCTATAGTAAATATAATCTCTACTATTATAGGTACTATCCTAAGAGCTATCGCTATACTAATAAACGCGAGAAGTATATATAAGAGAGTAATTTAATCCGTACTAGACTTAGTAATAAGCCTTAGAAGAATCTAACTTAGTCCTATAGCGAGGAATCTAGTACTAATAAACTATTTAGGTTCGTACTTATCGATAAATTACTCGATCTAAGGAGCTAGAAATATTAGTATAACGACGAGAATAAAGATTAGTCCTACGCTAGTTACTCCCTAGGAGAATACCCGCTAAACGAATAAGGGAAGGACGGTATCTAGAGACGTAAGAAGGATTACTTAAATAAAACTAGCCTAGAGCGCGACTTAGAGTCGATAGTCTCGTAGTATTTTAAGCCTAGACTAAACCTTTTTAACGATTATAGTTAACTATCCGAATATACTAACTCTCGCTTCGTCGTAGCGGTTAGTATCTCTAAGTACCTACTCGTCTTCGAGTAAAAGAGCCTCTAGATCTAGAAGATCTATTTAAGTAGATAAAGGGACGATCCTTAGCGTTCTATTATTTCTATAGATAGCGATCTAGTAACCTACCCTTATAGATTCTAACTACGCTATTATAATATCTTTCTCGATTAAGGTTAGTCGCTATACTATATCTAGGGAGATAAAGTAGAAAGCTATCGTAAATACTAAGTAATAGCTACTATATTCGAATATTAATCCTTCTATTAGAGGCGCGAGGAGTATAGCGAGGTTTAGCCCGAGACTATAAATACCTATAGTTCTTCCTACTTTATCCTTCCCTACTATCTTAATTACGAGGATAATTCTAGAGGTCTAGGTAAAGGTACTTAATATCCCTTAAAGGACTCGTCCTAGTATAAATATAGTAATAGACGAACCGATATAAAGAAGTACGATAGAAGTACTTAGTACTAAAAGGGTAATAATAAACGACGTACGCCGGAATATAAAATAATCTATTAAGTAGCCTACGAAAGGTACCGCGATTAACTAAGCTCCCGTATAGAATACTAGTAATATCGATATCTAGATATCTACTAAAGGTATAAATTAGACCTAGCTCCTAATTCGGGGCGTTAGAACCTAGGAATAATATACTACTATTAGTCGGTATTTCTATTCGCTTAGTAAGTATAAATAGTAGAACTAGTACGATCTATAAATAGATTAGTTATTACGTTCCTACGAAGAGTATCTCCGACCTACTATTATATAGAGAAAGGTATCTATAAAAATAGCTAGTATATAAGCGCCGACGATAAACGCCTTAGAGAATCTAATCCTTAGGTAGGCGGAAGGAACTACCGCTTCGCTAGGTATATTATTATAGTAGAGGAACCGAATTAAGGTTTATAATATAGTTTTAGCTATAACGACTAATAGAAAGTAAACTAGCGTAAATTTCGATTTTAGTAGGGCCTTATTCTCTAAGGAGGCTTCGACTAAGTATAGAGCGCGGTAGAGAGTTATAATATCCGTTTTATTTATAATTAGAAAAATACTTATTTACTACTATATCCTAGTTAAATAGAAACTAAGTATATATCTATTACGATATAGTAATAGCCTACGTAAGCCTAATAATCTAAAATATTCTTCCTAGTAATTCTAAGGAAGAGTAGGCTTATCTACGTATTTATAATCGTTTTTAGTAGTTTTTAAAACCTCTCTATTCTTCCCTACGAGTATATTTATACTATTACTCCTAAAATAACTTTTCTCGAAACCGCTCTCTCCCTTATATAGATATTATACTATTATTTTATAGGAAGCTAACTAGAAAAGTAGGTAGTATCTTACGTAGTACTCTAGTAATCGGTTAGAAATCTTTACTCCTATATTATAGAGTAACCGAAACTATTATAAAATATTATTACCTAGAGTACCCTTTCCTAATTTCTAAAGAAGAATTATAGCGATACGTATATCGCCTAATAAGACTATATTCTACGAGATAATAGCGGCGGTCGCTCCGAGCGTTACTTATTCCGATTAGTAGTTATACCTTATAGATTATATCTACGACGTTATAACGGCCGACCGTAATACCTATAAAAGAGGCGCCTTTCGTTCTTTAATTTAATTCGATAAACTAACTCCCGGAATTATCTCGATCTATATTAAGTCTTATCTAATTTTAGAAGAAGAGCGAGCTATTTTCTTATATATAATAAAAACTCTTCTCGAATATATCTCTAATTATAAAATCGGTAAGTAAATTTATACTATCGGCGATAAATTATTTAAGGGCTTAATAAATTCTCTTATCGAATTATTCCGGGCCGATATACTAGTATCTTCTAGTATATATATTCTTTATAGTATAATTACGAGGCGGATATACGCGATAGATCTCTATAAAGGGAATATTTCGCCTAAGGATTATAAGTTAGCTATCGTTATTCTTTTATTCGTATTAACGTTAACTAATTCTATAGTCTTCGCCGCTTATAAAGTAGGACTCCGGCCTATAGATAGTATTTCGGATAGTATAATAGACTAGCTTAAGAAGCGCGAGATAAGGTACGACGGAAAACCTAAAGATTAACTAGTATAGTATTCTAGTGTAATTTTAAAGAAGGGTAATATATCTTATTAAAATAAGAAAGACTATAGCTAGAAAGTAGGACGGTATATAATACTAATCTAGTATTATAATTCGAACCGAGATACGAAACTAACTAAGGTAAGGTTCCTTAAGAAGTAGGTATTACCGTATTAGATAGTATAACTAGGTATAGTAAAGAGGAACTATTACTTCTTCGGATAATTCTAAATATAGATATAGAATTATTAACGAAGTTAACTACGAATAGTTCTACTCTAGGGTAAGGAGTATATATATATACTACTAGTTTAGTCGTACTACTATACTCGTCCTCTATCGACTAACCTTCCTTATACTATTCCTCGGAACGCGGAGAAGTAGTTTCTTAATAAGTAGGTAATAGGTATATATCTATAAAGGGTTTAATAGAAGTATATTTAACTACTATATACCTAGTAATAAGGACGTTAAGCTAAAGAGAAGAAAGAAAAGAGAGAGCTTAACTATCGTACGAAAAGTAGATATAATCTCTTCTAATAGTCGTACGGTAGTCGTAGTAACTATCGATAGTAGAATTATATAACCTAGCCTTATAGAGAGTCGCTAGTTTCTAACTAAGACTTCGTCCGAGTTTAACCCGTAATAATATCTAGCTAGGTATAAATTAAAGAAAGCTATTCTATTAGATTATCCTTAAAATAGGTATAGAAACTTTAAGTTAACTATAATACTCCTATCTTAGCTAAAAGATATATATATATACTACTAACTCGCTTTAATTACGTAACGTAGCCGCTTCCTCTATCGACTAGCCTCCCTTCGTCTTAAGGGTATAGGTAGCTTATCCTAGGTAACCTATTAAGTAGCCTTAACTCGTAATATAATAGTACTTAAAGATCTACTCCTAAAGATACTAATTACGAGTAGATTACTTACTAGAGAGCTTCTATCCTAGCTACTTACTACTATATCGCTAGTCCGATTTTATTAAGTAGGTATAATAGCTACTAGATAGTCTATTCTTTTTCTACGAGCTTTATTTATAGGTCTTGAACGAGAGAGTCTTCTAAGTCTTTTACCTTATAGACGCTTCGTTAATATCGATTTAACCTACTAGGAGTTAAAAAGCCTACTTTACGACTATAACCGGCTATTTCGTATAGATAGGGACGGTCGTACGATTTAAGATATCTTTTCCATTACGATTCTCGCTAAAAGAAGATATCTTTACTATTATAGTAGCCTCTACGATAAATAAACTTTAGATTACCTTTTTCGTTATAGATACGCTTATCTAAAATTTTTAGAGATATAGTACTCGTATCGGTATCTAGTTTATAAGTTATAACCGCTCGGTTTAACTATTCTATAAATATTATTTTATATAAGACCTTACGGAGGATAGAGTAATATAAGTAGGAAATTATATAGGTAGTTACTTTATTTAAGGCCTTTTAAAGCGTCTTATTACTATTACTCTAATACTATTATTATAATAACTCTTATAAATATAGATTCCTTAGTCTAACTCTTCTAACTCTATAAGATACTATACTTCTAGCGTTTCGTATAGCCTAAGACTTTTTCCTAGCGTAATTTAATAACGTCTATTTTTTCGAGTAGGAAATTATTTATATATAGAGCCCTACGATATACCTTAAGCTATCGTATTTCTTAAAATTTCGTTCTCTAACTTCGAATAAGGACCGCGTTTAAAGCTACGCGGCCTTAGTTTATCCTTACCTAAAAAGATATAAATACTAGTTATATAACGATACGCTATAGTATTAACGCTATCTAGTAAACTACTATAATAATCTCTAACTTTATAGATATAGTTTCCTAGAGATTTATACCCTCTAATAATAGTAACGGTAAGGAAAGCCTATATACTATAGAATTCTAACGAAGGAATACTAGTTTTATTTTTACTATTATAAGATATATACTTAACCGGTATAAACGGGCGCTTTCGCTACGAAAATTTATCCTCTAATCCTAAGGTAGTACTTAAGTAATTTATCTTACTCTTTCCTTACGACGAAGGAAATTACTACCTTATTTATACTAACTATTACTACGTATCTAAGCTATAAATTCTCTAATACTTTAGTATAAAGCTAGATATAAACTTCGATTACCTATATTATAATTCGAACCGCGAAGTAGTACTAATTAAGGTAGGTTCCTTAATAAGTAGGTAATTAGAGAGGAATAACGTAATAGAGACCGAAGGAAACTATTCTCGTTTAGGTAACCCTAAATATAGGTATAGGATTACTAACGAAGTAAACTATAAACTACTCTATCTAGATTAACGAGTATATATATATAATACTAGCGGCGTCGTTAGCTCTACTAGGTTCTATTAGGCTCTCTACTAATCCTATAGAGCCCCCTAGAGCTCCTACCTAAAGCTATATCTAGTTATATAATGTAGCCTCGTTCTCTATCGACTAGCTTTCCTATTTCTCCTTAGGTATAGGTAGCTTATCCTTAGCGACCCTTCTAGTAACCTAGTTTATAATAACCTAGTCGTAACTATTCTATATAAGTAGATAGTAATACGGTAGATATATCTTCCGGCCTAAGATCTTACTAGTTTTAACCGCTAAATTATCCTTTTCTCTAAATAGAAGGCTATTACGCGTAGGTTCTACTTAGGAGGTCTAGAAGTCGTAACTATAGGGACTTTCGCCTTACCTTAGAATATTAAGTAAGACCCGAAATAAATCTCTACCTATAATGTCGTAGAGGAGACTTAGTATTAACCTTTCCGTAAAGCGTTTATTAGGAGAGAAAAAATTAATCGCTAGTTTAATCCGACTAATCGACGCGAATCTATAAATAAATATTTCCTTATAAACTTAAGGTAGTACTAGTTCTATTTATAAAAAGTTCTAGATAATTATATAGTATAGTAGATAGATAGTTTTATATTATAAGCCTATTCTATAATAAGGCTACTCGCTAATTCGAGTAGCTTCTCTATCGTACCGAAATATTACTACCGAGGTAAAGATATTCCCGGCCGCTATAGCTAAGATAGTATCTATAAATTCCTACTTAGAAATAGATAGCTTATTAACTCTCTTTATACGCTCTAGTTCTTCTAAAATAAGTCGTTCCGTCTCGAGCTATCTACCGTAGTACGTAGTCTTTACCGTATCGGAAACGGTACGGTCGATCTTTTATATAATAGCTATAATATTAATAAAGTACCTAATTTTTCCGCTATTAAAATCTCTCTACTCCTTCTTATAAGATATAAGATTATTAGTAATTAAGAGATAGTAGCTAATAAGACGAAGAAGATTTTCTAATTTCGCGCTTAAGAGGTTAATATTAGACTAGAGAGAGAATTTAAGATAGGTATATAAGAATCTAGCGTTTAAGTAACTTTAGCTATCGTCTACTTAGGTAGGATAAGGAAATATATACGGTATAGTAATATCTACGTAACGATACTCTAAGTACTACTAGATATCGGTAAACTCTATAACTAGCGGAAAGTACTAATAAAATCGAGTTAGGGCGGTAACGACGTCCTCCCTATCGTTATTCTTTAATACACGAGATATCTCGCTAATTCGTATTTATAGCGGGCTATTAGATACGTTATTAAGGGCGTTCCCTTCGATTCGTCTTATAAAATTATCTTAGACGCGTTTTATCTATATAATATTAATTTAGTATTAGGTAATAAAGGGGAAGCGAATTTCTACGTACTACTTATATAACTAAGTTCCGTAGTTTCCTATATATCTAAGATATAAATCTATTATAGGGTTAGTTATAAGGTATTAAGCGTCTTATAATATATCGTATCGTTAAAGAGAATAATAAGGAGAAGGACTTATACTAAGTACTTCGTTCTTATCTCGTCGGTATAGGGAAATATATACGCGGCGAACCGGCTATAGCGGTCGGAGGAAGGCGTTTTTAATTCTTTTCGGGTAAAGTCGGCTAGTATAGTACTATTCGCGTTTTAAGGATTATTTAGACTAGTATCGTCGGTAAAGAGATAAAGTATTTAGCTAGCGCTTTCTAGATTAACCTTCTAGTACTTACTCTAACGTAGGGCTTTAAGACTAGTATACTACGAAATATCCGTTAACTATAGATATAATGGAATACTATTTTAGCTTCGTTTTTCGTAATTCCCGTCGTAGACCGAGGCTTTAAAGTCGATTATAGGTACCTTCCGATAAGGATACTTTCTCGAGAGGTAGTTATACGCGTAGTTAATAGGAAGAAAGTACGTTCGATACTAATAAGAAACTAGGGACTTTAAATTAAGATTATAGCGTCTAGATACTATATTTATAAGAAATAGGCTCCGTCGAGAGTAATAGCTAATAGTATTAGGGTAAGGGTAAGGATATAAGTATAAATTAATCTTAATATATACTATTAATACCTAGGAGTTATTCGTTAGCTTTTAGTCCTTAGTACCTAATATCTCCGTAATTAGGATTTTTTTACCTTCTAAGCGGCTACTTTATAATAAAATCCTTTTACTCTACTTAAGGTTAAATATAAGATACCTAAGTATTCTACCTTAGGAAGATTATAACGTAGTACCTAAAATTACTATTTTATATAAGCGTTTATTCGGTAAGGTTTCTTTAGACGTAAGCTAAGGATATAGTATTCCTAGTACCTTAGGTTCTTAATCTCGTTAGTAGTATATTAGCTATATAAGGGACTTTACCGTCTAACCTTCTATTCTCTCGCGGTATTCCCGGGTCCTAAGAAGGTCGTAATCTTAGGCCTATCCGAGTTCTACTATAATACTATTAAGTAAGGCTAATATTTTCGAAAGATCGCTAAGATATACTCGAGATACGATATAACTACTAGGCCCTAATTATATTCGCTAGTATTAACGTCTCTTTCCGACCTAGGACCTATCGTTCGAATTAGACTAGATAAGATCTACGTAAACGATCTATAATATATTCGGGAAATCTATATCGGCGTAGGGTAAGCTAGAGATAAGTATAAGTTTTATATATAATAGTTTAAGGAAGTCGAACTTTCTTAATATATTACGTTCGATATTACTAATACGAATAATAGATTCCCTAGTATCTAGACTCCTTAGCTAGCTTCTCTTATTATAAACTAATAAGCTAGTAGTAGGCTTCCTTAACGATAATTCTCTACGAGCTACATCGAAGCCGGCGGGCTACGATATCTCTATTCTTTTCTAAACGCTTAGTATCTAATCTTAAGTTAGTTATTACGAAGCTCGCGGAGAGGCTTTATCTACGCCTTAGTAGCTATACCGAGATAGGCCTACCGATAGTCTTAAATAATACCTTTAGCTACTTCGCTATAGATATTATTACCGAATACGCTTTCGCTCGTAGTTACGACTTCCTATAAAACCCTAATTTTCTACCGAACCTTCGTCTTTCCCTTTAGGGCCTAATAGTTTCGATCTACTACGTTAAGTATTTTCCTTAGATTCTAGGTATTATAAATCTTTTATCCTTATAGTTTAAATTTCTCTAGCTTCGATAAAGATAGACTAATAATATTAGTATCGTCGTCGAATAGGTCGACCTACGGGTAGCCTAGCTACTCTAAATACGTAAGGTAATCTCCTTCTAAGCCTATAGACGGTACTTATACTTATTCGCTTACTCCTCTTACCGTAGGACGTTAAGGCCTAAGTAAAAGACCTCGCGACGGGTAAAAATCTAAACTTTAGAAATAAATACTATTCGATAATATTCTATACGCTTCTTAGTATAAATACGCCGGCGAGCGAGAAACTCCCTATTAGACTATAGTAAGAGGAATTTCTAGTTATCGGGGCCGGAATAGAGACCACCGCTTTAAGTAATACTATAGGGCCTTATTCTTTCCTCCTCGTAAGCTTCTAATCGTAATAATAAGTTCTCTTAACGACGATATTTTACTTAATCGATAATCCTCGCGCCTATAATAAGTTAAAGTAAGAGCTAGTAGTTACTTTTCTAGATATCTCGATCGTACCGACTATTACTATCGTAGATTACCTCCTATTTCTAATAAGTACTAGTTTTTTACTATATAAAGTTAAGGATTAACTATCTTAGTATAACGCCGTTATCTAGGAAGGCCTTCGGCTAGGCGTCGATATAAGCTCTCGACTATAGCGTATTTCTCCGACTTACTCGATAAATATCGAATACTAGACGATTCCTTCTAGAATACTAGTAGGTATAACGAGTATCTTCGTCTATAAAAACTCTAAGCTCTTCTACGAGCCCTACGAATTTATCCTCGAACGCTAGATTAAGAATTCGTAATTAAATAAATTTCTCCTAAGCTTCTCTAAGGAGTCTAGGTAGTATACTAGGATTACGTTAGTTTAGTACCTAAGTAGTAGGCGTACGTATATAGCTAACTTCCCCTAATTACTAGCCTTACTTATACGGAGCTTCGGATTATATTAGCTACGTTAATTCGGCGGCTCGACTTTAAACTTTTCTAGATAACGATTAAGGATATAGCTATTAAATATAACCTTATTACGATAAATACTAGACTTAGATCTTAGAGAGTTAAGGTACTTATAAAGTAAGGAAAGATACTATCTAGTTAGGCTAATATACTTTAGTAAGCCCCTAAAGGAAGCGGAGTAATAGTCTATACTAATAAATCTACCTACTATTAGATTCCGATTACGCCTACCTCTATATATCTAGCCTAGACCGTAGTAGAGTAAAATATATTCTAAATTATTTAGAATATAATTATATAAAATATAAAACTATAGTAAAGGCTTATTACTCGATAGGCTAGTAGCGAAAGGGATAGCTAACTTAAAGATCGTCTAAGGCGTTATTAGATATTTAATAATAATAGGAAGGCTAAGTATAGGACGTCGTAGTATAGATAAAACCGGTAATAGAAGGTCGTAAATAGAATATATATAAGTACTAACGAGTATAGATAAGTAGAGGGAAGATTCTATCGAACTTACTAGAAGGTAAGTATAAGGGTTTTAATAAGGAGTTTATTTAACTACTATATATACTATACCTAGTAATAAGGATAATAAAGCTTAATAAAGAAAAAAAAAGGATAGCCTATCTATCGTACTATATAATAGATTTAAGCGTCCTATTACGTATTCTTTTAGATTAGAAAGTATTACTAGGTAGACTCTATATCGATAGTAAGCTTATTAGTTAACTTCTTCTAGGATTATCGATTACGATAGTTAGAATAAAGCTATCCTTCGCCTCGACTATTTATATATTTATATAATTAATTAACTACTTATTTCCGAGAGCTAGCGGTATATAGTTCTAAGTTTAAAGGCTATTATTTTACCTAGTATTAGTAGAACTTATTAGTAGTATTATTTCTACGCTATATTAAAAGTCGGCTCTTCGATTACTATTAATATCTAATAGTTTCTATTTTCCTTATAGGCCTAAGCTAGGTCTCTAAAGGTATATCTTCCTCTAAGCTCTTATAGCTCTATATATATACTAAATTATATTCTCTAGTCTAATTCTAAGTAGATTACTATTAGGTTAAGTATTTTACTTTTTAATTATATAATATCTTTTTAAGGTTTTATACCTTATTCTTATATATAGCTTTAGTAAGTAGGAAAATTCTAGAATTTAGTTACGAGTTTATATAAAACGACTATATACTCTTACCTAGAATATAAATAGATAGCTAGAAATCTAGATACTATATATAAACTTAGGTAGAATATTTACGTTATCTAGAAGATAGCTAAATCTAGATATTACTAGTTTCTAGCTAGTTACTAACTAGTTAGCCCTAGAATACTTAGGAAAGGTATAAGAAAGGTAGAGGAGCGACCGAAAGGAAGTATATAACTAGATACTCTAGCTAGTTATTAACTCTAAAGTAAAGAAGCTTCGTAGAGTACGTAAACGTTCCTAGTTAGTATTTAAAATATAATCGAGGATAGAGGAACTCGGCTCTTCTCTATAAGAAGTCTCCGAATATCGATAGTCTCGGTACTTATCCTACGACGTCTAGGAACTAGAGATAATTAAATAGATACTCCTTCGATACCTAGAGTAGAAGGAACTTAGAAAAGAATATCTCTAAGACGAAAGTAAACTATCTACGTTAAAGGCGCTCTTAGGGTTAGAGAAAGGCTTCTATACGATAGCTAGAATAGTATAACTTACTAGGCTCTAGAGCTAGTATAGCGCCTACGAGGTTAGATAATCGTAGAAAGATATAATAGGGGGGATAGGGAGGAGGATATAGGGTCTCGGTATTTAGTCTTAAGTATAGAAGTTTCGGGAACTTACTAGCGTTCGTACTAGAATTAACTAAATCTATAGCGACGTTAAATAGACGTACTATAAATAAATAAATAAGCTAGAGGTATAGTATTATATAATCTATAAAGCTAGTAGCTTTATAATAAGTAATCCGAAATCTCTAGACCTAAAAGGAAATCTTTATATAGCCTCTAGTAAACGAAATTAAAGGAATTTCTATAACCCTAAAGCTCGACCTCTTAACCTATAGCTATTCTAGTATAAAAGCGCTTAGTTATAGCTATATAATCTAGATATCTATATAGAAAATATAAGTTTTATTCTTTATAAGAGGGAGGAGCTCGTTAATATCCTTCTATAGGCGCGAAGGATAGTTCTAGACCTAGTAAAGTATAAGAAGCGTTCCGTTCGGAAGTAGATTTTCTTATTTATCGTTAAGCTCTACGATTAAACTATACTATCGATCTAGTATTTCTATAACTAAAGGACCGGCGCCGAAGAGTATATTCCTTCGGTTAGCCTCTATACTATAAGAGGTTAGGTTAAATTAGAAATAACGAGTATTATTAAATATTATTATATTAATAAGATATCCTCGCTAGTCTCCTCCTAACTTATTAGCTATTTACTACCTATAGATAGCTATAAACTTATTATTATCGGATATATTCGTTATTATATAAATAAATATTTTCCTAGAACTTATTTTATTTAGATTAATATATAGCTACGTAATATAGCTATTCTCTAGATAGCGTAAGAGGATTTTACTTCCCCCGGAAGCTATAAGTATAGGCCTATAGCTTTAATTACCTTTTATTTAACTCGATTTATATATAAGGTCTAATTCCTAGAAGAATAGTAACGGTGCCTAAGGAAGAAGATAAGTATTATTACTATCTATAAAACTTAGAGTAATACGCGGAACTAGTTCTTTATTAGACGTATAATTTATAAAACCCCCTAGAACTACTACTTCTTATCGTAGCTACGTATATATCCTAGGTCCCTAATTAGATTATCGTTTATATCTATCTTAGAAATCTACTCGATCTATAAATATAAAAATACTCTCACTAAAATAGAAGATAAAAGGATAATTAGAGGTAATATATTAAATTCTAAGGATAAAGACTTATCTAATAATTTAGTATATTTAGCTTCGGTTTATATAGTTAAGATATACTCTATTAATAGAGATCTAAAGCTCCGTATCTCTATATTTCTACTATTCTTAGGTATAGTTATATAATATAATAAAATTAGATATTCTATAGATTACTAAGTTTTATTTTATTTAACCCGACTCTACCTAAAGGGTTATACCGGCTACTATCGTTATAATATATCCTTAACTTCCTTTAAAACGATACTAGTATAGCTATATAGAGTTTAAGCCCTCCTTCTACGTAGGCTAGAGGAGTTAACTTAGACTTAGGTAGGTTTAAGAGTTAAAAATTCTAGCTATAGCTTATAGGGTCGCTACCTCTATAATTACTATACTTAACTACTTCGTAATATACTAAAGGAATAAGTACTTAAGAATTATATTATTTAATAGGATCCTATAACTACTAGTATCCTCTATTCTATTCCTATAGAACTTAGGCCTTCTATAATAACCTCCTCCTTTTCCTCGACCTTTAATTATTTAAGAATAACTACGTATCGTAAATTAGTCTATTCGTAGGAAATATTATTACTATTATACTCTAATACGAACCGTTTAGGTCTATTAATAAGCTCTTACTTTTTTAGATAGTTAACGATTCTATAACGATTTATACTCCGGCTACCGTAATCTCTTCCTTATACTACCGTCCTAAGAATTCTTTATCGTATTTTAGGTAGCCTATATCCTTTATTAACTTTAATAGTAAGCTCCGAATTAAAGGCGTATTACGATAGTTAAAAGGTTACTAAAAATAAGGAAGTATCGATACGAGGGAGTACTAATCTCTATAGCTTAGTATAAGCGGAATCGGTTAACGAAGAAGAAATCTAGTATAGTACTATCGAGAAATTAGTTTTATCCTTAAAAGTTTTTAGGCGAGCCCGCGCGAGAACGTATATAGTTCGGTACTATTTCTAACTTTCGGATAATTATTTAAAGGT